GAAGAGATGTCAGTGCAGGAGTCTGGTAGTGAAAGATTAGGGTGTGGGTTTCCAGTAGTAGAGTTCATGGTGAACATAGACAATTCCCAGATTCAGTATTCAGCATCTCCTCCCCTCAAAATAAACATTTGGGCAGTTACAAGTGACTGTGTCTACCTCAGTGTCCTCCTGCGCTCTGCAAGTCCCAGGAAAGCAGAAGTGGAAGGCTCAGGTGTGTAAGTGTTGCTGTGAAAAGTGCATGAGAAGCTTAATCCTGCCCACTAATTACATGGTCATGAGAGTCAAGATTGCTGGCAATGTGGCTTAGTGGCAGAGCACTTGCCCAGCACCCACAAGGCCCTGGGTTTGATTCCCAGCACAGTTACAAATCTATCCTGGTCCCCCCACTCCATACTCTGGCTTGGATGAGAGTTGTCTATCATCTACAGAACTTGAAAAGCTCCCTCACAAGGTGCCCTTGCTCCCACCCTTCTTCTTGAATTTATCCCATAAGTCCCAGATGAAAGCCAAGGCTAAAAGTCTTGAGTTTAGCGACAAAACAAAGGATGAGGAATCTTGCTAACATGGGGTAATTCTTTGCACCATTCTGGTTGGCTGACATTTACCGAGGCCATGCTAAGGCTGACAGTCCCAGCCCCTCCCCCCATTCCTGGATTTTCCCTCGCTGTTCGTAAAGCTTGAGCCAACTTGACTCTGTCAAGTGGGCACATGTATTTACTCCATTCCCCCAAACTAATGAAAAGCCCCCAGGAAATCAAATCGAGAGGGACATGGGCACTCTAGACTTTAGGGTTAAAGTGAGACTATAAGAAATTAGATACTTGGTGGTGAGTACAGTCTGTAAAGGGTGGTGTGCCTTTTCTATTAGGAAATTTGATTTCATGAAGCTTTATCCCCAGTGTGGTGACATTCTTGTAATCCCAGCACTCATGAGGTGCAGGCAGAGGCAGGAGGATCTTGAGTCTGGGGCCAGCATGAGCTACACAGACCCTGTGTCATATAACAAAAATAATCTTTTAAAATTCTCAAGAGCCAGGTGTTGCCAACAGCTTTAATCCCAGCGTTTGGGAAACAGAGGCAGGCGAATCTCTGTGATTTTGAGGCTAGCCTGATCTACTTAGTGAGTTCCAGAACAGCAGGACTACATAGAGAGTCCCTGCCTCAAAAAAGTAAAATAACAGCAACAGTAATAATAGTAATAATAACATACAATTCTGAAGCATGTAAAATTAGCTATGTATGTGCAGTGCTTGTGTAACATAAGGCAGTAAGTGAAGCACACAGCCAGGATCTTGAAGATGCTACCAACTTTTCAGTGGGTCCTGAGATTTGGAAAATACAGTCTCATTGCACCCAATTATTACTATTAAGTTGCAGTTAGAGAATAGCAGAGGTCAACCTAGCAGTGCATGCCAGTAGCTTCAGCACTTGGGAGGCTGAGGCAGGGGGATCACACAGATGTTCAAGGCTTGCCTGTCTCACAATATAACCAAAGCAGTCGTGGGGATACAATGAAATGAGGGTGTTAGGAAATCAAACTTGTGAAACAACCAACTAAAGTTGATATCCTGTGAATAACGTAAGCCCTTCCACACTGTGGCTCATTTATGAAACCATAGAGATTATTAACAATTTATAGAATAATATAATACAGAAAAGACAGGCTGGGCGATGGTGGCACACACCTTTAATCCCAGCACTTGGGAGGCAGAGGCAGTTGGATCTGGGATTTGAAGCTGGCCTGGTCTACAGAACAAGTTCCGGAACAGTCAAGGCTACACAGAGAAACACTGTCCAAAAATAAATAAATGAATGAATAAATGAATGAATGGATGAGTAAGTAAATAAATAAAATAAAACCCCAATCCCCCCAAAACAAACAAACAAACAAAACACCAAAACCAGAAAAGCAACTCATGCAATTGGTAAGAAATAATGAAACTTCCTTTTTGCTTGATTTGGTTTTTGGGAATAAGCATGTATCACGTACTGTGTCACTGGGCTCCAGAGCCCAAAGTTCTGATGGCATTAAATCCAGAATTGTCACTCTTGTAGTTGTACCAGCTCAGTGTTCTGTTCGCATTTCTTTGCTGGAGGTGAACTCCTTTATGCCTGGGTGGTAACGTCTGTGCACCCCTAGCAGAATGGAACTTTTTATAGAACTAAATGTTCTCATCAGTGTGATCACCACAGTTTTAGGAAGTGAATGTAATTTACCATATTCCTTTTTTTATAAAGACACAGATAAAATAAATAAGCTAATATAACATTTATTCTGTGTTAGTCAGTACATCAATTAATTCAACTTGAAAACCTTATCTCTACAGAGTATTGTTTCTTTAATATGAGCCTCTGATTCACAGGAATACTAATTTTAAGGGGAATACAAAAATGGCATTCTTATTTTGTAAGGCTCATCCTCTTAACGTTTTTACAGGCACAGAACTGGCAGGTGAGGCCTTATGCGGGCCTTTTCCTGAGCCTGGCCACAAATCAGAGTGCCGCTGTATTCAGGTCCCAGCTCCCCATTCCAGACAAAGCCACTCTTTTCACTTCCCTGTTTAGCATTTATCTTTTTGCACTGCCGTGGCTCTGCCTTTCCCCCATCCTGACTTCTGTTACCACTTCCTTCTCCCCCCCCCCCACACACCCTGCCCAGGATGGTGTGGGAGGCCCTATTATCAGGGTATAGACAGGCGGGAAGCTAATACATCTTGGATCTAATTATTCGGGGCACCTATACTTGATGTAGATTCATTCTAACAGATTTTTGTCGTCAGGGATCATTACAAAAAATTCCTTTTAAAAATGTGCAATAAAATGCAGAATGGATTGAAATTGTCAGCTCCATATAAGAAACTTTGTTACACAGTAAGACAGGAACTGGAACCTACAACTTACATGAAGTTATTTTTTTTTTTTTAAATGCAAAAATTGGCAGGCAGAAAAGTCAAATCCTGGCATAGTTAGTATTAAACTAGAAAGTAGAATACTGACTCAGGGAAGTCCACAAAAGGATCTTTTCAAACAACGGGGTTTTTAAAAACCCTGCCACAACCCCTTAAAAAATTCTCAACTATAAAAAATAAGGCAAATTGAAGCTAGACATTTGCAGATGAAATGAACTCTGGGCCACACGTAAGGGCAAGGCTGGCCCAGGGCCTTCTCACAGGTCACACACCATCTCCCTCAGAAATAACGCTGCATCTAAGACCCCACTAAATAGTAGACCAATTAAGGTCATTACCATCTTCATGCTGTCAGACCCATTGCCGTGGAGGAAAATTATGCAGACAGCGTCTCTGAAGCTCACTTCATTTGTGCCACACGCTCATTATTCTTGGAGGTGGAGGAGGTGGCAAGGAACATGATTTCTGTTGGAAAGTTCTTTTGTTTTCTGCTACCTTTACTTAAATGTTACCAGGTACTATTTTTAATATCCTAAAAAGTGCTTTGAAAAAAATGTTAAGTGAATAGTCACACACACACACACACACACCATGGCAAATGCTTATATTCTCTGTGTTGTAAGGAGTGAACAATACTTGACTCTTAAGAGGGTGAAGAGAATATATTGAAAAATTATCAAGTAGCTGATAGACCCACCCCCAGCCTTAGAAAGTTTTGAGCTCAAAAAGAAACCTGATCCTAACTGATAAATGCTCATTAAAGGCAAATTTCAATTAAAATTAATGTGAGAGATTAATGATGGCTAAATTGATGCCTTTAAACTGGTCAGTTTAAGCCCAAAGGGGTATAAATTGAGTGAGAATCTTCATATTTTGCATAGAAGGTCAAACTGCTGGAAATATATCTTATCATAATAAAATATGGTAATTTCCAAGCCATCCCTCTGGTTCCTGCTTATTTTTGTAACAAAAGAACAGTTTGGATCACCCTAAACTTCCCTATGATTTAGCCATATAGCAGCTATGCAATACACTGATGAATTTCTGTATTCTATTTCCAGACGGTAACTCTATTTAAGTGCCTAGGAAAGCCAGAGAAACCAATTAAGAATGAATGAGAATATATTTTTTGGTAAAAACAATCAGTCATAATGCATTCTAATGAGAGGTGTATTTATCAAACAGCAGTATAGGGAATACACACATGCACACACACATACACCCCTCTCCAAAACTTGAAACTTGGGGCTACCTTCTTACCTCCAAATTACATATTTACTTTCTGTTTTTCAAAATTCCCTAATCCAAAATACCGTAAGTAATTGCTAAGTGTTGTGTCTCTTATAGCTTTTTCTTATTCATGAGATTATCAGAAACTTTAATGCAAGTATATTGGCTTGGAGCCATTCTTATAGTAAACAAACAGATACAGGATTACTTAAAATACTGCAAAGCGCACCAACCTTAATCAGGTATTTAAAACTGTTCACTTTAAACATATTTGCTGGTAGCTATACAAGTCTTTTAGCACCATACACAGTGGGTTAAAGTATTCTCTCAAAGATGACTTAGAAGTGATTTTGTGTCTAAAAGGTACACAATTAAAAGAAATTTATTGGGAGGGGGGTCATGTGTTTTTATCTGGCTAAATTTAAAACATGAAGACAGGCAAGCCTGCAGAAAATAGCTTCACATTCCAGCTAAGAATCTTGCTAAACATCCATCATTTGGTTAAATTCCAAAGCCACATTAGTTACTTCTGTAAGTGATTACAATATGTATATTTACAAAATGAAAGTATAGGAAAAAAGCAATGTATGCATATGCAGTCCATAAACAGTGTATATGCAGAGCCGAACGAAAACCATTGGTGTCTGTGCCTCCAGATGCTCTTCAACAGCCATCATACCATCTGTCCAGCCTCTGTTGTAACAAGTAGTAACATCATCACTTAGGTTAGATAGTGGGGTGGGGGTGCTGTACAATATGAACCCTAACCCGTGGGGTTGGGAAGTATGTTATAGGATCATGGCTAGACACAACAACAACAAAAAAAAAAAAAAAAAAAAAAAAAAAAAAAAACATTGGTGTTGAAAAGTCTATGCTTTAGCATGAATTATGACTTTTTATTCAGCGGTATACATAGTTCATGTTTGGTGAAGAGGAAACATTTTCACAAGAATATTATGGTTTTCCTGGACCTTCAGAAGTCGCTCTACTAAGGGAATCCTTTGTTATCTAGGAAGTTTGCCTTCTGGATGAAAAATACTATTCCCTTTATGTATTTGTTTCTAAACGTCTCAGCAGATAGGTCCGCACAGAGATGGCTATGTACACGTTTTCTGGGCAGAAGGAAGAGAAGAAAAAGCACTCACACACTTGTTAACTACTTGCCTGGCTGAAGGAACTTGTGAATGGCTTTTGTAAGGAACCTGTGCGGGACTAGATATCAGCTTACCTGATTCACCATTAGAACCACAGGAAAAACATACTGTAAAAGAAAAACGAAGGCAGTGTTCGCCTATATACAGGGTTGAACCATCAGGAAAGACCCAGACTTCATGGCATTAGGGAACAGCAAGGGGCATACAGCATGCCGAGTGCTCGATAAGTGGTCTTCCTCAACACACCGAGCTCGTCATTTGTCGTTTCTGCATGTCACTGCACCTTGTGACCTGTGCTGACTCCCTCCAGCCCAGAAGTGACCGTGTTTCCGATTAGTTTTATAAACTTTATTCATTCTTGAGCACTTCTGGGCTGGAGTTGCACCTTTAAATCCCACAGATGACAAGCCTTTCATTTATGACTGAGAAAGAAGTGCCACAAACGTATGAAAGAATTCATCTTCGAGTTGTTTCCTTCCTTTCCCATGATCTGGAGATGAAGTCACTGTAACAGAGTATTTATTTTATTATCCTCGGAAACCATTTCATTAACCAGCTGTTCTACAGACAACTGGATAGCATTCTTGACGAGAGAAGAGGCTGTTTCTATTAAGAGTGTTTCATATTGTTCTGAAGTTCTCCCTTCGAAATCACTATCATTAGCAAAAACCCCTACTTGCTCATTTTCCATTGACATTAGGAATTGCTTAGGGACATTTTTAGATTTCTTAACATCAAATTCACTGATCTCAGTGTCTGTAATGATAATAGCAATTGGCTCCATTCTTTTGCTTTCTTCTGATTTGGGTTTCTCTGCATCAATTCCATTTTCTTTCAGATCTGGTGCCTGGCTCCGTGCAGCTTCCTCTGCCTGGCTCCGTGCAGCTTCCTCTGCCTGGCTCAGTTTACCTTCTTCCACCTGGGCCACAGCGGCTTCCTCTGCCTGGGCCACTGCAGTTTCCTCCACCTGGGCCACGGTGACCTCCTCTGTCTGGGCCATGGTGGCTTCCTCTGCCTGACTCAGTTTACCTTCCTCCACCTGGGCCATTGGGGCTTCCTCCACCTGGGTCACTGTGGTTACCTCTGCCTGCCTCAGTTTACCTTCCTCCACCACTGCAGTTTCCTTCACCTGGGCCACAGTGGCCTCCTCCGCCCGGGCCGCTGCAGTTTCCTTCACCTGGGCCACGGTGGCCTCCTCCGCCCGGGCCGCTGCAGTTTCCTTCACCTGGGCCACGGTGGCCTCCTCCGCCCGGGCCGCTGCAGTCTTCACCTGGGCCACGGTGGCCTCCTCCGCCCGGGCCGCTGCAGTTTCCTTCACCTGGGCCACGGTGGCCTCCTCTGCCCGGGCCACAGCGGCTTCCTCTGTCTGGGCCATAGCAACTTCCTCTGTCTGGGCCACTGCGCTCTTGTCTGCCTGGCTGACAGCAGCTTCCTCTGCTTGGCTCAATGTAGTTTCTTGAGCCTGGCTCAGCGCAGTTTCTCCGGATTTCTTTTCCTCAGCTGCACTTCTGTCATCTTTCCTACTTGGTGCACTTTCTTGGGTGCCGCCACTGGGTTCTTCCACACCGCGTTGATAAGCAGTTGCTTGTGAGGCAGGAACATCAGAAGCCGCTGGACGGGAGCTGTCTGCTTCTGGACTTGCTTGCTTCTCTTGCACACTTGGCTTTTCCTTAATCCCTTTAGTTTCCTTTTCCAGCACTGGAGTTCCCATCTGAATAGCAGAAGCCTCATTTTCTAATTCCAGTTCTACGGAAATCACATTCTCTCTAGATGTGATGCTGTTGCTGACATGGGATTCTTGGGCCTCCTTACCGCCTTCCACCAACCCGCTTTCCTGTGGGCCCTGGGTGGACTTAGCCTGGTCAGCCGACTGGGTCTGGGTTTTTATCTCTAAGTCGTCGGCCCCTCCCTGGACTCTGAGGTTGTAGTCTGAGTCGTCTGTGAGTTTAGAGGGATGACTTCTCTTTGTCCCTCTTGAGAATCTTATGCAAGGAATCCTGAGTCTGGATTTTGCCTTTTTCTTAGGAAAAGCCTTGTCCTCGGGCTGCCCTTCAGCCTCAGATGGCTTCTGCTTCTCCGAAGACCCTGACCTTTTCCTGTGTGTGACAAGGCGTTTGATGGAGGCCCAGGCCCCCGCTGGCTGTGGCTGGTCAGAAGCTCCGGCTTCTGGGGGATGCTTCTTTGTCACCCCAGCAGTCTTGGAAGCAGCTTTAGGCTTCATTTTGTTTGCTTTCTTCCTTCTCTTGAAGCAAAGAGTGGCTGTTTTTCTCTGCTGCCTCTCTTCCTGAGGACAAACAGCTACTGGCCCCTTCTCATCCTTAGTTTCTATCTGAATCTCAGAAACTCTGCTCTCCATTTTTACACTACACTCTTTCATCCTCTGGGAAGTGTCTTCTCTCTTCCTCTTGAAGCCTTTTGTGACAAAAAGATCACACCAGGTGGAATTTCTCCCGGGTGCCCGCCCTGTTTCCACTCCACAGTTGTTTCTATGGCCCTTTCAGGACATAGCTGCCTTGTTTATCTGTTGCTTATGATTTCTTCCTTTAACTTCTCCTTTGAATGAAAGCTCTTTCCTGGATAAAATTCTCCTTTATTCAAAGACCAACCTGATAAGAGAAAAAAGTGGGGTTATATTTCATCATGGGCCTATTATTTTTAATATAAACTTACATCATATGGGGCATATGTCCTGTGGGGGCCTATGTCCTGCAAGACATACCAAAACAACCATGGCTACAAAATGAGTCTTGCTTTTGCCCTAGCCAAAGAGCTTCCTGTGCGAACCCATTTTGTTCTATTATTTTTTGACAAAACTTTGTTTGTGGTCACTCTGCAAGAGTGCCCTGGCCCTTAATTGACTTCTCCATGAATTGTCGTGGCCTCTCATAAAAAGTTTAACAAGCAACAACAACTAAACCTCAGAGAGCAGGGTGATAGGGCAGCTGGACTCCCTTCTCATCACATAGTAAAGAACTATGGCACTGCTAGGGACTTAGGAGATGATTCAAGATTAATCAAGTACGGCCCAATGACAAAATTGAGCTCCCAAGTGGGCAGTGGGCTTGCAGAAAGCCTTAGGCTTGATGAGGTCCTAGCCAGAGTTAGAAGTAGAAATTCTGACTCTCTGGTGTTCTTTCTATTGTAGCATACGGTTTCCGTTCTAAAAATGTACATTCCATCAAGGAGGTGCTATTTTCCATACACACTCTCAGAAAAACCCAGCATTGCTGTCATTCTCCCATCTAAAGTTGTTGTGTAACTTTGACATTTTCACCGGTGTCTGCCACTCACACTTTCCCACTGTAACTGCACACAGCTGGGGGTTAGTGAGGTAAAAGCCAACACTGGTTGTGCAATTCGTATGTACACGGCGGTGCTAAGCACTTTCACATACATCTCTAACCTGCACCACAGGATCCCAGCGTGAGGAGGTGGTGAGCTCTCCATCTGCAGTCAAGCAAGCAGTCTGCCTGAGATTACAAAGCTAGTCAGCCACAGTGCTCAGGTTTAACCCGAGACTGCCTGCTTCTGAAGCCTGTGCTCTGACTTCCATCTGAGGCTGGTTTTGGGGGTGCACGAGGCAATGCCAGCATGTGGGAGGTGGAGGCAGGAGAACCGATCAAGGTCATCCACAGCCATATAGTGTATCTGAAGCCAGCACTGGCTACATGAGACTGTCTCAAGATGGAAGAGTGTGTAAAGCTAAGCTGTGGGTCTGGGCATGCACCTCAGTAATAGACCACTGGCCTAGCATGCTACAAGGTCTGGGATTTGATCCCCAGTACTAAAACACACACACACACACACACACACACACACACACACACACACACCCCCCAACCAAAAAAACCAATCTACAGAAGGGAATGGCTCAAAGATTGGGGACATAAAGTGCTTACCCAACAATTCTATGGATTTTAGTTGGTAGACATCCTAAGTTAGGCAAATTATTCTGCTTGCATGTAAATTCTTTACTGGACTTTCATTTGGGTACCGGCTTCTAATTCTCTGTAGAACCCTGAAAAATCATTTTAAGATATAAGGAGATTTTCTTTTTAAAAGCTAGGTATTGTACGTTTCATGTTCCTACACAGAAACATAAAATTCTAGAATAATGATGAAACCAAAAACCATTTACAGTGTCTTCTCACACACCCTTTATCAGCACTAGAACCATCAGTGTTAATGTCTCCAAGCCTAAGCGAGCATTCCTTCTAAGCTATCAATAGAAGAAATATTCAAATGCGTTTATTCCGGAAAGTATCTGAAACTGACCTGAATGGCCCAGATGTTCGCACAAGAGGCTTCTTCGAATGTACATCACTGTAGAAATAACACCCCAACAAGTGTATCTGAGGCAGGGAAAGGATGCCGGCAGCAGGCGTTAAAACTTTGCAGACTGTTAAGACTGCAAACGATCTGCCTTTACCTTTGAGAGGAGCTTGATCACCTTGGAAACCTTAATGTCCCTGCTGTCCTTCGCTGGCAGAATCTCATGTCTAAGGCCACAGAAAACAACCACAACCGTCTTCCCCTCTTGAGTAGCAAAGAGCAATCACTATCTAAGCCGAGCAAGCAACCTTTCCCAGCACCAGGCACGAACCGCGAAGCTTCCTCCTGGAAGAAGGACTCTATCCAGGCTTTGACGCCCCTGTGGCAGAAGACCGGGCTCAGGATAAAATGCTCAGAAAGGAAAATACCGGGGGTGTGGAACAGACTGCCCGAAGCTTCCAGCTATCTGCAGAATTATCATAGACTGGAGCCGAAAATCACAGTTCCCCCAAAAAGCCTTGAAGAAGGAAAAGGTCTGGGTAGCCGGTGCCAAGGCACCAGCTGCAGCGCGTGCGAAGCGAGAGGGAGGCAGAACTGCCCAGGGTCACCCACCTGGAGACGCTTGAGGACCAGCGACCTTGCAGTCCGCGCCCCTTGTGTCTGGTGACCCGGACCCCGGATCTGCCGCCGTCACCTTCCCACCAGGGGCTCAGTGTCCCCGATCCTGACCCAGAGACTCTCGTCCTGCCTCTACTTACCCAGAACGTCACAGTCTCTGCTCAGCCCTGCTCCCCAGGTCGAGGCGCACGGGCCCAAACAAGAAGCTCCGGAGGCCGCGGAGCGCGCAGCCCTCTGCAGAGGGACCGCAGCCGCGCGCCCCCTCCCCAGTGCAGAGAGAGACAGCTGGTAGCGCCAATGCAAACGGAGCAGTGAGGCGGGGCTAGGGCCGGGGGCGGGGCGAAGTCAGCCAGCCACCTGCCAGCAGACTGCCCTGCCTCCTGAGAGAGACCTTCGTGCTCCCGCCCCGCACGCTTCCCCGCTGCATAATGACATCAGGGTCTGGGGTAGAGGGGCCAGTAAGGCAGAGCAGAAGAGGGTAGATGGCCCTCATTTCCTGAGACGCACAGCTACAAATTATAAGGCGTCCACCATAAATTCCCCTCCAACATTAAAGACAAGGTAGACAGCATATCTTCAAAGAAAAACTGATGAGGTTGGAAAAGATGGCTCAGTGGTGAGCAGCACGTATTTCCTCTTCCAGGGGATCCGAGATCGATCCCCAGTACCCACATCAGGCGGTTCACAAACACCTGTAACCAACTCTACAGTGATATTTTGCTTCTGTGGGAAAAAACATTCACGTGCCGGTCCTCCCCCCCCATAACTAAAAATAAAATTAAAAAAAGTAAGATTCATAACCGTACAGAGTCATAAGGGGTCATCTTGAAAAAAAATTGTTTTTGAGACAGGGTCTCACTGTATAACTCTGACCCACCTGGAACTCACTAAGCACACCAGGATAGCACCCATCCTATGAGATCCACCCACCTCTGCCTCTGGAGCCACACCTGGCTAGAGAAGGTTATGCTTATGGTCAGAAACAGAAACAAAGACAATGTTGTCAAACAGGACCCCAGAACTGCAGAGGCCAAGCTGAGATCTGCTGGAGGGATGTGGCTATCTACATCGACAGACCACAGGTGGGGAGCGCACAGAACATGGCCCCCCTAACATCTCACATCAGAAGCGTGGGTGGATTACTGCTTCCTCTAGCATCCCCTGGGGCTGCACACCTTGTTCCTCTCAAGCCAGGACAGAGATAAAGGGCACTCACCATTCCAGTCCCATTCGGAGCAAAGGATGCTGGCGTAATAGTACACACTCTGGAGCAGGTGGGTGTCGCATAGGGTGAAGAATATTATAAGTACATTTCTGTGCACAAAGGGCGTGGCTTCTACAGCCCAGGGCCAGTGGCTTGGGTTTTTGAGAGCCTCAGCTAAGGTCCTGTAAATGACATCCCAGCCTCCTCCAAGGCTTTTCCTAGCACAGAGCTCAGGAGCCCCAGTAATGTGGAAGAACAAGACCCCCTTCCCCTTTCATGAGTGGACCATGGTCTCTGGGAGGGTTAATCTCAGACTTCCACTTGGGGATGGTTTTTCTAGGGATATGGTTTCCCTTCCTAAGTAAGTCTAGACTTATTCCACCAAGACTTGATAAGGCACAAACTCTCAGGACACAAAACTGATAGGATTCTAAGTCTGTAGATTAAAAAGTAGTGATAAGAACTGTCAATCAGGAAACCCAGATACAGTCAAGCTGTAAGAGTTAGAAGGAGGGAGCTGCAGGGATGCTCAGAGGTTAAGAGGTCTTCCTGATTGGCAGAGGATCAGAGTTCAATTCCCAGCACATTTCAGGTCACTCCCAACTGCCTTCAACTCCAGCTCCAGGGGATCATACACCTTCTTTTGGCCTCTACAGGTACATGAGTGCATGTGCCCTGCCCCCAACACTCCCCCCCCCAATTGGCCTAGGGGACTAAAGATGTTGCTCAGTTTGTACAGTATTTGCCTGGAGTTCACAAAGTCTGGGATTTGGACATGGTGACACATGCCTGTGATCTCAGCACTTAGGAGGGAGATATAGTAGGATGAGACTTTCAAAGCCATTGTTGGCCACATAAGGAGTCTAAGGCCAGTCTAGGCTACATGAGACCCTGTCTCAAAAAACAAAATGAACTTGGTTTACCCTTGTTCACCCAGCAAACATGGGTGGGTGAAAATAGTCTTTTTATCCCCTGGTAGGTTATATGTTAACCTTGCTTCTAGCTGTTTTGAACTTGAAATAAGCTGGAAGAAATACACCACTCAAGCAGCAGAGGTGCTGTGACGAAAGGTTCCTCAGATCCTGCAGATCTGGGAGCTGGCAGTCACTTTAGGAAGAGAAGAAAAAGCAGGATGATTCAGATGAGGATGAGAAGCATAGCTATGTTATTAGAAAGCACATGAAGCCAACCAAGTGTGGCTGTGCAATCCCAGGACTTGAGTAGCTGAAGCAGGAGGATGGCAAGTCCCTAGCCAGGCTATGTTACATAGCAAAACTCACTTAAGAAAAAAAAAAAAAAAAAAAAAAAAAAAAAAAAAAGCATTGGGAGATGAGAGATGCAGGTTGAAACACCAGCAATTAAGAGCAACTAAGAACTTGTAGCTCTCCTACTTGCTTTGTTATTAAAAAAGCAGCTGAGCATGGTCTAAGAGGTAGATTTATCATCCATTCTAAGGGAAAATACAATTTATATGATCAATAACTTATCTGGTATCTCCCTCTCTCATGCACACACACATACATACCCAGAAGAGAAAGAACATTACTATAAATAAAACACACGTTTGTGGCTTTTCTTTAGGGTATGACTAGAACTCGATGCCAGATGTTTGAACAATGCACGCCATACATCATACATGAAAGAAACCTGTCATTCCTAAACACATTTAAGTGAAAATACTGTTGAAGCTATTACTGTATTATTCCCTACTACTCTATTTGAATTATATAATTAGGAAATGAACTATAAATACCTCTGCAATCTGACAAGGAGCTATCCTCCTTACAGCTAATCTTATTAATGTCACCGATACAGTGTGCCAATAAAATAGCCTACATATGCATCTGAACAGCACTGAATTGATTAAACCATCTCTTCCCTTCTGGTTCCCATCCATACAGTCCAGGCTTGGAGCTACCCAGTCTTACCATCTTGTTAACAATTCTTTTATGTTGTTGAGCCTTTCTCAGAAAAAGCCTTCCACAGTATTTTCCTCTGGCACCATCTAATGAACCTGTGGTTCCAGATCCCGGGTGGTTTGATCTATTTGTAAGTACCTTGACAGCTGCAGGGAGCCAACACAAACCCAAGTGCCTTACTTGGCAGCACATACGCACTGCTGTCACTCTTAAATTATGTGTGTGTACAGCATCTGAGGGGCAATTATGTGTATATACATCGTCAGCATACAGCAGCTGAGGGACAATCAGGAGGTACAATCTGCTTCTCGGGAATCCTACCAGCATGGAGACAGGAGGGCCTGAAGACTGGGGACCAATGGGTCTGGAGAGAGGCTAGTTCCGTGGTGAAGGGTTAGGACCTGTGCTGGTGACACAGGTCGTCATGCACTGATGCGTCTATATGTATTTTATACATATGGCTGCAGATGTCTTATGCCTCCTTCCATTATGGAAAGAGCCTCTACTCTTGTGGCACCTTTGAGCAAAGATCCAAGAATCAGCTGCATAAAATCCTTGCCTATCAGGATTGCTCAGCAGCCACCTTTAAACTCATCTCTCCTTTAAACTTCCATACATTGCAGTTACCTCTTCCTTCTGGAGGCAAGCGGAATGGACCCAGTTTTCTGCTTTGCACAGCTTGGCAGGAGCTGCCCTGGCTTCTAAGAACTGCTGAGAGGTGGCAGAGAGCAGAGTCTCTGGAATAAGGTGACAGCAGACACCATCACTAGAACCCTGAAATACCTTTCTGTAAAACGAGATAGAAGCCTAAGTGATTACAATAAAAGTACACATTTCCACAGATGTCAGTTCTTGTCATGAAGATGGGCGTTTCACTGGCAGGGGTTAGTCGTGTGGATGCCTGTACACAAGTTGCAAAGACACATGAGAATTTCCCAGGTTTTCTAATGTTGTCTACTTACCGTTATGTTATTTATTTACTTGTGGCTTTGTTGATTAAACCCTGGGCCTTACACATGCCAGGCAAGCACTCCCCCAATGAGCTCAAGCCCTATGCTACATTATTTGCAATAGTAAAAACCACAGGGCTGGAGAGATGATTCAGCAGTTAAGAGTGTTTGTTGCTATCCTATATAGACTGGAGTTAGGATCCTAACTGCCATGTCAGGCAGCTCACAAATACCTCTAACTCCAGTTCTAGGGGATCCAAATCCACTGGCTTCTATGGGCACCAGCCCACACTGACACATACACATATTAAAAAAATAAACTAAAATTCCAGTGTCTTTAAAGCCTATCATTCTGGGAGGCAGAGGCAGGAGGATCTCTGTGAGTTCAAAGCCAGTGTGGTCTTCATAGTGACTTCCAGGTCAGTCTGAGATATACCCTGCCCCCAAAAGACAAAAAAGAAACTTTAGGGGCTGAAGAGCTCCTCAGTGGTTAAAGTACTGATTACTCTTCCAGAACCCAAGTTAGATTCTCAGCGTCCACAGGAAGTTCACAAGCACTTATGACTCCAGCTTCAGCAAATCCAACACCCTCTTTCAGCTTCTATAGGCAGCCACATCCACATACATGAAGGTCAAATCTCCCTTCACTATATTCATTTGTCCATTATTCTTTCTGGTATTGAGGATTGGCTTCCCCAAAGTTTGTTAGTATGGAGGAAGCCTGGGTCCTTTAAGATGGTCTCCAAGTCACTGTATCTCATAAGACTGCGTCCTTTAAGATGGACTGCTACCTTCATGTTTACAAATGGATTCCTAGCAAATCTCTATAGACTATTTTGAAGCCTACCAAAAGATGCTTCATCAGGGACAGCAATGAGTACTCCAAATGTGCCAGGCACTGCACAAAGCGCCTTATAGGATGTGTTTACTTGACTTCAGAACTACCCGTGAGGAAGCAGCAACAGCACCCTTTTTTCCCATAAAGTGAGTGAAGCAATAAAGGCCAGAGGGGAGTACCATGCTAATGACTCCTTTGCCGTTCACTTCCCAATGTGCT